AAAAAAAAAAAAAAAGGTTTACAGTATTGGAAATCCTATGAGGCAGTTCTACTCTGTCTTATAGGGCCACTATGAGTTGAAATGGATTCAGTGGCAGTGGGTTCATAGGTTTCCCATGAAGGTCAAATGGGTAACAGACATGAAAAGCATTTATAAATTATAAACATAAAACGCAAGGGGGTTATCATTATTTATGCTTTAGTCAGATCCATGCACAAGACCTCTCCTCTCACTCCCCAAGCTGGGTGAGGATCCTTCCTTTGTGATCCCACAGTTCTCTGTACTTCCCTGGGTCACACTATGTTGCAACTAGGATCATTTCAGACTCTCTGAATAATGTTTAAGTTCCTGAAGAACAGGGATATCTCATATTTTCAGCATCTAGAACAGAGCCTGGCATAGAGGAAATGCTCAATAAATATGTGTCAAGTTATAAGGAAGGTTTGCAGGGCATGGATCCTGATTCAAACAATATCTCTTGCATCTATCGCACACCAGGCTCTGTGCTATTTTCATGACTTATTTAGCACTGGGAGCTGTCTGCATTTTAAAAAGTATGTTTTCTTCCTCCATGATCTCAAGTGGGGCTTGAGTAGCCAAGGGAGACTTCATGGAGTATAGAGTGAGCACAAGGGAAAGAAAGAGTATTGAAAAATAGGAAGAAGACTCAACCTTGAGTCTTGGCTCTGCCAAAAACTTGCTATGTCATCCAATATAATCCCCTATCTCTCTGAGCCTCATTTTTACCCAAGGGCCCTTCAAGACAAAAGGGTCTTTCTAGAAGACCAAGAGTCCTTTTAGACAACAAGAACCTAAATGGAATGAGTTGGGAGGGGCAACAACCAAGGAATCAAGCAGAGGTCATGGGTGACTGTGCAGACTGTCCTCAGAGCCACCAAAACACAGGCATCTTCTGGGTGGCTCAAACAGTTTCTAATTCTCTTTCCTATGAGATTTAAAAGGAGCTCTGGTAGTGTAGTGCCTAAGGCACTTGGCTGCTAACCAGAAGGCTGGCGGTTCAAACCCACAAGCCACTCCTCAGAAGGAAGATTGGGCAATCTACTTCCCTAGGGATACCACCTCAGAAACCCAAGGAGGGGTCACTATGAGTCGGGTCCGACTCAATGGCACATAAGAACAACAACAACAACATGAGATTTAAAATGCTCAAACCAGTTCCTCAAGCTCTCCTTTAATAAACATGAAAATGAGATTCATAACAGTAGCCAGGAAGAAGAAGATGGGAAATCACTCCAGGGGATGATCAATGGATTCTATTTATAGGATAAAACTTCCTCAGACAAAAACACATGCCTCCAGACCTTGTCCTCAGAGGTTGCTTTACTTCCACAACATTATTTGACTTTTATGACAGCTCTAATGAACACTGCAGGTGGTGATTATTGTCTCCATCTAATACCAAGATTTAGAGAAGCAAAAGTGCTTGCCCAGATTACACAGCCCATAAATCGTGGAGCTGGGAGTTACCCTTAGGTCTGTCTGCTCCACTCTCCCCCACACCAAGATGTTTTAGAGAAGAGCAACATTGGGAGGTTGTATAGTACTCTCTCCTGTTTAAAGTGAAGAGTGGTATTTGGAAAATCCTAAGATGACAGACTAGGAAACCCTATGGGGCAGTTCTACTCTGTCATATGCAGGTGTGATGAGTCAGAATCGACTCAACGGCACACAGCAACAGTAACAGGATTGGGAAAAAGGTATTGTCCGTGGTGATGAATGTAGTTCCTGGAGTCAGCCCTAGAATCAGATTTAAGTCCTGCCTCTTGCCAACTGTATAAGTAGTCTTGGACAAATCATCTAACCTCTCTGAGTCTACTCCGTAAACTGGGAAAATAATAGTAACCACTTTATGAAGTTGTTAGGAGCATTAATGGGATAATGTATGTAGTAAGGGCTTAATTTTAATGCCTATTTTTTAAACAAATTGTCATTATTATGTTGTTGAGAATCCATTTTTTTTTCCATCTCCTACTTCTATATTTTAACCAACTGAATTGGTGATCATGAATAAAAAGGATTGTATAAAAGTCAGAATTTTCCAGTCAGTTAGTATGTTCCTGGATTCCAGTATTTACCTTTATCTTTTTGTTTGTCTCCATAAAATTTTCCTGCAGTGAGCTGAAATTTACCATAATCCAGAGTATGTTTAGATTCCACCCATCTGTTTTTCCATCCATCTATGGGGTAGAAGAGAAAAAAGCAACACATAGAATCAATGTAAATGTAGCTAAGGCTGACCAAGTTTTAGGGAGAAGTTAAAGGAATATTAGGGAATGTCTCCAATATACTTGAAATCTTCCTCTTTGTCTGATAACTTGAATACTGCCATTCATCATTATCATGTTGACACTACATTCCATCCATGAGAGCTGAATCCTGAAAACCACCATGGGAATGTAGAGTTGAAAGGCATGAGACATTTATTCTTAAAAAATAGATAGAAAAATACTGCCAGGGAGACTAAATCCTTATACATATTTATATATTTATTAAAACACAACAAACTCAGCAAATAAAGAGACTAGCAATACCATCTTATACTTCTTAAATTAGTAATGATGATTTTGTTCATTCAATTTCCACTTACCCTTTTTTTATTGCTTAAACTTTTTAGACATTCCCTTGCACTTTCGAGGAGATGCTGATAAATTTGTTTTGCTTTAGCAAAGATGGCATTTAGACAAGTCTTTTTAAGACTTGGCACTGCACTCAAACATTCAGTGCCTTTCTGATTTCACGCCTCAGAGTTGCTGACTCCCACCTCCTGGGCCCTCCATGGTCCCAAAGTCACAGGGCAGTTTGGCAACTTGAGATGGAAGAAGCCTTGGGGGTAGCCTTCAGTTCATCACCTTCTTGTACTGAATGAGTGTTTCTCAAATCCCCTCTCCAATATTTAGAGTTATTGCCTTAACTCTGACCATAAAAACCCCACATCAAAACATATCTGAGAAGACTACTCTGAACGGGCTCTGTCAGCTCCTCTTACTTAGATTTGATAACTCAACTAGTTTCCCTCAGAAGACCCAGCGGGCTAAGGAATGCTTTCCATGACTCTTCTAAAATCTCAGTACTGGGCCAAACCGTAAGATTCTCAGCCTTACAAATGGGTTTATTTATTCATCCATTTGAAAAATATCAGTTCAATCTAATAATCATGTACAAACAGTTGTACAACTTTGGCCTTGGACTTTATGGTAGGAGAGGTTAGAGCAGAACTTGGGACTTCTCATGACTAATTATTTTTCAGGATGCACAGTACTGATACAAATTAAACTCAACACAATTAAGCCATTGTCATCAAGTCAATTCTGACTCATGATGAACCCAAGTTTGTCAGAACTGTGTTCCATAAGGGTTTCATTAGCCAATTTTGAGGAAATAGATAATCAGCCCTTCTCCCAAGGTGTCTCTTGGTGGATAAACCTCAAATCTTTCAGTCAGCAGTTGAGCATGGTAACCGTCTGCACCACCCTGGGACTCCTGACACAATTTAGGATGTTTCAGATTGTAAGTAAGGAGCCTCTCTTATTAAGGAAATAACGCCACATGATTAATAAAGCTTCACTTTAATGTTTCATACTTTTCCTCTTAACACTGTACCAAGTTCAAGCCAGAATGACCCATAGCAGTCATTTAATCTGACTTCCTCATATTACATTAAAAAAAAAAAAAAAACACCTCATTGCCATCAAGTCAAATCCGACTCATAGCAACCCCTCCTTGGGTTTCCAAGGCTGTATCACTACGGAAGTAGATTGCCCAGTCTTTCTTCCGAGGAGTGGCTGGTGAGTTTGAACCATCAACCTTCTGGTTAACAGTCAAATGCCATAGGCTACATACAGATAGGGAAACTGAAGCCTAGAGAAAGAAGTGACTTGCTTGCGGACAGAATTGCCATTTGCAGGATTGAGGCTAGAACATAGTTCTGCCTGTTAGCTTTAAGCTCATTTATTCTTTCATTCAGCAAACACTTCTTGAGCTTTCACTTTGTGCCAGGCAGCAGGCTCAGAGACCTGAATCTAACAAAGTCCTTGCCTTTAGGGAGCTCACAGTCTGGTGAAAGCAATTAACAAGTAAACAATGAAAATGCACCGTTGGTAAGGGCAGTGATAAAAGGAAGCAGCAGACAATGAAATTCAGAAAACCCCGAACATCTTCAAGTGTCGGTGTTAGACCTCAAAGAAGGCATGCCTGAAAGAGCCCTGGTGACACAGTGGTTAAGCACTCAACTGCTAACCGAACATTGGTGGTTGGAGCTCACCAGCTGCTCCATGGGAGAAAGATGTGATAGTCTCCTCCCATAAAGATTACAGCTTTGGAAACTTTATGGGACAATTCTACTCTGTACCACAGGGTTGCTATGAGGCGGAATTGACTCAAAGGCAGTGGGTTTGGTTTTTTTTGGTTTATGCCTAAATTGAAAAGGCAGAACGGCAAGGAGTGGGTTTTCCAAACACAGTGAACTTGCAGATGCAAAGGCCCAGAGACATGAAACAGCACGGCTTATCAGCACAACTACAAACTGTACTCTGTGGTTTTTGTAGTGGAGGGGTGGGCGAGTAGAACAGAGTATAGTAGACAGGAATCAGATCAAAGAGATCGCTTACTAATTGAGAGCAAAAAAAAAACAAACTCACTCCCTTCAAGTTGATTCGACTCATAGCGACTCCTTCGGCCTTCTGGTTAGCAGTCAAATGCCTTAATTGAGAGCAAGAGAGTATTAATCAAGGTTGGACGCTACCATCTTTTCTCACCTTCTAATTCTTTCCTTCAAATGGGTCAAATATCTATAGGTTCTCAGAGATACACCCAAAGAAAAGCAACTGGTGGCTTGGATCTGACATATTAAGCTGATAATTGTACACAATCACACCCTAACCTATAGAAATACAGAACCAAGGAGGCCACATAACCATGATTCCTCTGCCAAATGAATTTATCTCCACATCTGCACCTCCCAGCATGTCTGACTGGCAACATAACTCAAGTCAAAAGACCAGAATAGGGACTCATCTCCACCACTAGCTTCAGCAGTATTTTCAATCTCTGAAACTCAGTTTTTTTCATCTACAGAAAAAAAAAAAAAAAAATTACCTAACTCTTAGAGTTTTGGGGAGAAATAAATGAAATAGTATATAACTGCTTGGCACATTATAGGTGTTCAGTAAATATTACCTGCAGCTAAATCTGTATATATGTGTAAATATATTGAAAGATATATAACATAAAGGGTAAATGCTTTCAAGGTAGGAGTGGTGCCATTCCCAGCACCTGCTCCCGAGCCTAGGACAGAATTGGTCCTTTAGAAAATGCTTACTTAAGTAGATAAAAAAATATATTTGCTGCTCTTACTCAACACCATCTGACTGCATTCTGTAAACAAGAATTTGCTGGATAAACTAAAGCTTATTTCTTCAGGTGGAAATTATTTGGTCCACCATTTCTGATGGAAAAAATTTCTAGACATTGCAAAAGACCCTGACCTCTTGTAAACAAAAGTTAAATTTTCTTAAAGACTCAAAATCTATATTAAGCATAAAGCACAGCAGAGGTGTGCATCTGGCTCTGAAGATTTCCTGTCTCCACCACTGCTCTTCTGCTGTGAGCAATCACTTCTCCTTGGGGCCAATGTGTTTGCCTGTAGCAATCCACTCAGCTCTCATGAGACCAGTGGGCCTATATCCTAGCTTACCTGCCTGCCAGTTAACTTGCCTGCCTATTTTCCTTTCTTTCTACCTGTCAAATCAGAGTGGTCCATCTGACAAGAAGAGAAGAAGGAGCAGCTTCAACTGTCTTTTCAGTAGATTTCATCCATCCATCTATCCATCCATCCATCTATTCATTTATTTATTGAGGTCTTAGGATGTGCCTGGCAGTGAACAAAACAAAGTCTTTTCCACCATGGAGTTTACATTCTAACCAGAAGGGAAAATGACAAACTTTAAACAAAAGAATATATAAATAAACAATATGCTATCGGGCAATAACAATTCTTTCGGAGGCCTTGGCAGTTTAGTGGGAGAATTTTCCCCTTCTGTGCAGAAGACTCAAATTTGATTCCTGGTCCATGAATCTCATGCACAGCATGGTCAGTGGAGGTTGGCATATTGCTATAATGAAACATCTAAACAGGTTTCAATGGAGCTTCCAGACTAAAACAGACTAGGAAGAAAGGCCTGGCAGTCTACTTACCAAAAACCAGCCAATGAATCCTTATGGATTACAATGATCCAATCTGCAACTGATCATGGGGATGGTGCAAACCAGGCAGTGTTTTTTGTTCCATTGGGCATTGGGTTGCCAGGAGCTAGGAGCTGACAGGACAGCAGCTAACAATAGCAATAATTCTATGAAGAAAATTAAGAGTGGCAGAGTGTGATTTTTAGACGGGGTGTTTAGAAGCCTCTGTGCTTAGATGACATTTGAACAGAGATTTGACTGAATACAGGTAGTAACCCACATTCCAGGTTAGCTACACAGGTAGAATGTTACAGAGAAGAAAGTAGGGAAGGGAGCTAGTGCTTACTGAGTCTTAACATGTACCAGGAACTATGCAATACTGTATTCATGTTTCACCTCATTCAATTCTCACAGCACTCTTATCTCTAGGACAATCACCTACATTTTATGGCGACTCAGAGAGGTTAATAAAATACCCAAAGTTATGCACTAAGAAATGGTAGAATCAGGACTTGATGTCTCTTCTGTTTGACTCTGAGGCCCCGGCACTTGCTGCCACAGCCCTGCAGCCTCTGAGAGGTTTCCTTGCCATCAGTTTGTACTTGAGAACTGGAAGGTCCAGCTGGATCAGGCCTCTTTGGTTTGGGCATCTGTCCAGTGAGATTCTTTCCCAGGCCCAGCATGTGTAAGTATCCATGATTCACAGATGGTCCCAATCGCTTATCAGTCGGAGGCCTGAGCAGCAGGCTGTTCCTCAGCCTTACTGGGCTATCCTCAGTGGGTCTGAGCCAGATGGACACAGAGGCTTTTTGTCTCAGAATGTCTCTTCAGCCAAGTTTTCACGGTCAAGACTGAGAGCTGGCATAATTAACATTCACACACACACACACATACACACATCTTGTGACTTCTGCATCTCTCAGGCCCTCATCTGAATTCCAGTTTCTTTCTGTCTGATATTGGACTTTCACAATGGTCACTGCCATCACCATTAACCTTCCCTTCATACCTCTTTGTATCATAAATACATTGATTCTCCAATAAATTCCTGCATGTCTTAATGTGCCAGGCCCTATGCAAGGCATAGGAGTCCAAAAGCCCATGTTGTTCCTGAGGCCACTTCTATTAGTACCTGCTGGCCACCTAACGGGGAGCTCTGGTGGCATAGTGGTTAAAGCATTTGGCTGCTAACCAAAAGGTTGGTAGTTTGAATCCACCAGCTGCTCCATGGGAGAAAGGTGAGACACTCTGCTTCCATAAAGATTTACAGCCTTGGAAACCTAATATACTAAAGGGTCACTATGAGTTGGAACTGATTCAATGGCAGTGAGTTTGGTTGGCCACCTGACACCTGGCAGCTTACAGCAGAGCCCAAAATATTCCTTAAGAAGCAGGAGTCCTGGGTTCTGTTCCCATCTCTGCCACTGACTTACTGTGTGACTTTGGGAACCACCTCTCCTCTCAGAGTCCCAATTTCCCCTTCTGTACGGCCAGAGGCTTGGTAGACTCTCTGGTTGCTGAACTGCTCTGTGGCCTGGAATTGTCTGGAGAACAATAGAAAGAAAGGAACCTGACTCAAGCTCTGTCATGAATCCAT